GCCACGCCACGAGCGCTAGGACTTCCCCTATTCCTGCACACACAGGCTCCCAGGAGCTCTTCGCCAGCAAACTAAAGCCTTGGCAGGGGGAGGGGAAGACGTCAGCCGAAGGGGAAAGCAAAGCAAAGCTCCATGCAGGGGACTTCCAACCTGCCTGACAGCCACACTCCAGGCTGGAGGAGATCCAGGGCAGTGTATACCACCGACTCATCAGGAACACCCACCATCTGTAGAGATCTCTCTGCAGCCTGCCGGGGCTGACGCGGGATTCACCCAGAAGCAGTGGGAAAGGAGCAGCTATCCCAAGTCTTTAATTTAAAATGTGATTTTGGAGCCCTGGGAGTGACTCTGAAGGGAGGGTGGGACCGGGTGAACCCTGGCCCGAGGAAACGGGGCTGGGGAGGAGAGTAGCCTTGTTGAGCTGAGCACACAGGACACTGATGAATTTTAGATTTATTTCCTCATTGGTTTTACCAGCACGCCCTCGCTCTGAAGCACACACAGGAAAGGACGCTCCTACTGGTTTTGCTACCCATTGCTAGGAACGGCCTTGGCATTCCTCCTTCCACGGCTGAACGCTCAAAGCATGGAGACACTTGTCTTATGGGTACCTTCTCCTAAGACAGGGGACTGAGGAGAACTACTTCCCACCTTCTTCACCGCTATGCCACTCTGGGAAGCATGTTCTCCCAAGGTCGTGGTTTTATTAGCGGTTAGGTGTCCCATGGCGATCTACCTGCACAATGTGTGTCTCTGCTCTGAAAAGCAGTGCAGGAAAGGAAGCGTTATTTGCATTTCTTTAACTATCTGACTTCTAGCAGCCCCCAAAGGTGACCAATCCGGGTGCGCTTGTGCTCAGTATGGTACAAGCCAGTAAGTAGCAAAGAGCGGCTGGAGAGCTTACGTTCCTTTCTGAAAAGAGCCTTTGGCATCAAATCTTTTAAAAAGCCACTACACTGGCGCACTGGACCATTTAAAAAAAATGCACATCACATTATTCTACTATAATGCCCCAAAATCCACTACTGCTTAAGGTAGCAACACTACAGCGTTTGGCGTCATTAGTGCAACTGGGAAATTCCATAGGACAGTAGCGTGTAGGGTGCAACCCCTCCCCTCCCCCACCTCCGGGAATATGCAGGGCTAGCAGGCAGGGAGGGGGCCCTGACAGCTGGTCTCAGATTTCATTTAAAACACGTCAAGGCCAGATTTTGACGTGCTCGGCAAGTTGACGGCAAATGTGCCGCGCTCGCAAGGAAAGACGCTTTCCCCTAACTGCTGGCTCTGCAAGCTCACAGCATCCGAGGCACATGCAACCCAGCCCCACTCGACTACCCCCTGCCCTGTCGCCATCCCCAGCAATGCGAGCTCTGCACAGAGATGCACCAGACAGACTAGCTAGCCTCGCCGGCAGGGCTCGAGAGTCAATGTGGCTGGCGTAAGAACTCTTCGGTCATTAAAGCAAGCAGCTCTGGACAAGCAGCCCCAAGGGGCCGTGTACCCAAATAAACACACGTGAGCTCAAGAACCAGGCTCAGCACACAAAGGATTCTGCTAAATAGCTGGATGACAGCCTGGGCTACCACCTAGTCCCAGCTGCAGCTGATGGGCTGTGTGATCTCCAGCAAGTCGTCTCCCAGGTGCCTCCGCTCCCCCTGCTGTGGAACAGGGCTGTTCCCCCCTTCGCGCTCAAGAATTGAGGATCAGGTACCCTGGAAAGCTACAGAAAAGCACCACCTGCTTTCCCAGTGGAGGTATCTTCCATGCACACGACTCCCATAGGCTCAGAAGGGAGGTCAGTGCACACGGAGACCCTACAGGATGGGGCCCAAGGTCAGTGCTAAGCAGCAACCCCCATTCCTCTCATCAGGACAGGAACAGGCAGGAAGCAGCAGACGCCACACCAGGAACACACCACGCAGGCTTCTCTTCGGGTTTCCATTCTAATTAACGATTGCAGACAGAGTCCAACCGACTCCCTCACCTTCGCTTGGCAGGAGCCTTTAATAAACCTGGCAAGCTGCCAATTTCAGGCCTATTAAACGGACAGCATTTGAGTGCTGAGCTACAGGTTATTGCAGGTGACCGAACCCCCATCCTGTTATCTAGGACTCCAGCAACTCTATCCCATTGTGAAGTCTCTTCCCTTTGGTCTTTGGGGATCTAGATATATTTTTTGATCTGTCAGCACCAAGTTAATGGGACCACGATGAAAACCCTTTGGACAGGCATCTGCAGTGCAACAACAGGAACCTTAAAGGCTGCCCCGAGAGACAAAAATAAAAAAATTGCGGTGAAGCCAAGTAGCTGCAGAGTCTAGTGTCTCGGATTACAAGGTTAACAGTTTCCTTTCTCCTTCCTTCCCTCTTGCCCCAGTGCCTGCTGCAGACAGAACATCTGGCTCTGATCAAATCTGCTCACTCCTGCACGCTGCATAACTTTCAAGCTGGGCTTCTCATCCATGCCACGGCCAAGCTCTGTCGGATGGCAGCGATCCAAATGGGAAGCAAAAACTTGCACACTGCAGCAGCGTGCTCTCCCCTCCTTGGCGTAAGTTTTCTAGAGCAGAGGAGAGTTAGAAGCACTGATCAGCCCCAGGGTGATAATAAGGTCCCAATTCGCAGAGGTACCCACCACTCTCATATCCCACCAGTTTGGCTATGATGCAGAAGACAGCAGTCCCCAGGAGCACACCTAGGCCTTTCTTTACCGCGGTGCATTGCAGGCAGCGTGGTGGACAGTGGGCATTGCTATTGAAAACCAGTTACCTCTCCACCACCAGCTGGCGGGGAGGAGGGAGAAATCAATGCTGAGCTTAAGGACTGTTGTTTCAGCAAATACATGGTGGGATGCAAGAGTGATTTCATTTAAGGAGAGGCAGGAGCCCCCCAGACCATACTGAGCACAAGGAAAATGCAACAGTGGCGCAAGAGGACAGGAAGCAGCAGGCCACGCACTGGCCTATAAGGTGCTCACGTCGCCCTAGCAGGAGGGAGGACGAGTTGATATCATAGGGTCATGAAGCACTCTCAGTGGCTTGTTTGGAGCATCAGGCTGGACATACCTAGAGAACCCAACCCCTACAAGTTCACATGCCGACATGGCCAATTCAGCCCCTCATCTTTCTGGAGAAAGAAACTGAACCCTATTGGCTTTACAGCATTGAGACTTTTTTGGACCCTGCCTGGTAGAAGTCCTGTCTCCTGTGTATGGACGTTAAGAGTCCAGTTACCATCAGAAGACCCTGTGAGGAAGGGGGACCACGTGCTGGGTGCCACAGCTGCTGACTTTTGCTGGTCAAGTTGTACCCATTTTTTTTTTAAATGCTGGTCACCCAGCTACAGGAGAGCTGACCGCATTGACAGCTCATTTCCATTCTACGCCATACAACAAGAGAACATTAATTACAGAAACTCTCCTGGCCTGGACTAGGCGTATGCCAGGAAAAACCCAGATTGACTTTGAGATCCCAGACTTGACTTAGCAAAGGGCTGGGGGAGAAGCCACAATTGATTTTCGCTTGAGAACTGAGCAGACAGAATACCGACATCAATGAGAGGCACTAGACTCGGGATCTCAGGACACAGGAGCCTGTCGGCGGGTTTTTAGAGCAGTTTGATTCTGGAGAAACTCACGGCAAGTATCCCATGGAAGTGCTAGGAAAAGAAGGGGTTTGTCCCTAAATCACTGCTCAAGATGCCCTTTCTTCCTGACGAACTCGGCATTCGCCCATGAAAGCTTATGCTCCAATACATCGGTTAGTCTTAAAGGTGCCACAGGACTCTCTGTTGCTTTTTACAGATCCAGACTAACACGGCTACCCCTCTGATTCATGATGGAAGGCCCTCTAATTCGGACGTAAGGCCTAGGCTCTTGTTCTCCACCAGACATCCAGTGGCCATGCCACAACGCACAAAGGCACATGGCACTGGGACGTAAAAGGAACGACAACACTAGGTTTGCTGAACAGTTCAGCAAATAATTCCAGAACAAACCAACCCACCCGTAGCATACCTCCACGATGTCTAGCAACGTGCTAGAGACGGTCAGGAACCACACCAGGTGCCCAGTTAAAGCGACATTGGTGCGTAGGACTTTCTCCACTCCACAGCCCAGCTACCCTTCCTTTCCTCCCCGCATGCCTGGCGAGGGGCAATTCTCACCAAGCACCAGCTGCCTGTGTTACCTCCTTCCGCAGGGAGCCGCTCACTACACATTGACCCCCACCAGTTTAAGGACAGCCGGACCCCAGGGTCAGCGGCTCCTAGGCTCAGCTCAGGAAAAGACAGACATGGATGTTACAAAACAAGCCGCAAAGCAATTCCCAAGTGCTAATCTAGGGCTCCCTCGGGGCCCAGGACATGGCTTGGGCTCAAATGCCACAATCAAAATGTCAACCGAGCCGACAACCCTTTGAAATGCACATTTCGATCAGGCCGGACTTCACGTCTATGACAAGTCCCCGGGCCGGTCTGTAAATCCCGCGGCTGTCACGGTGCTGGTTTGCTCGCCCGTCGCAGGGAGAGGAGCCCCAGCAAGCCGGAGGCACTGCGGTGAAGGGAAGCTCGCAGCAGGCGGAGAAGCCGGAGTTAGAGACGGCCCCATCCCTTACCCCGCAGGGCAGGCCCGGGGGAAAAGCCACGCCGCAGGTACGCGGGGTAAAGCCAGCGGTTGTGGTGGCAAACAGCCCGCCCGGCTCCAGCCCCGCCGGCCCGGCAGAGCGGGGGTGGGAGGAAACCGTTACCGGGGGGGCTCCGGCTCCACCCACGCAAGACAAAGCAACTCCCCTCAGCTCTGCTGTCACCCGCGCCCCGGCCGGAGCCCCGTCCCGTCCCGCGCGGCAGCGAGCCCGCCTCGCGAACCGGACCCGCCGGGGGAAGCGGCAGCTATCCCGACAGCCCAGCCCGCCTCCGCCGGCCGCTCCGCTGCAGGGGAGCGGGGCCAGCAGCCCCCGAGCCGAGCCCCGCATCCCGCATCCCCGCGCGCGGCAGCATCCGCACCTGGCTCGACTCGGCTCGGCTCCGGGAGCCCCTCGGCGCTGCTGCGGGACCGCTGGGGCCGGGCGGCACGATCGCTCCCGGCCGGCGGCGGCTGCCCTTCTACCCGCCCACCCGCGGCAGCCCCACTTCAGCTCGCAGGGGCCCCCTGCCCGCTGCTGGCAGAGATTTCAGGGGGAGAGGGCGGTCCCACGCGACGCTGGGAGTTGTAGTCCACGCGGGGCCAACAGCCCCGGCAGACCGCAGCGCTGCTGGGGGACGGAAACTACAACTCCCATGATGCGCTGCGCGCGGAGCCACGGCTCCTGCCGGGGCTGGCGGGACTTGTAGTCACCTGGCCCTCCTGGGGCTTTCTTCCTCGGGAACAGCCGGGTCAGGGGAAACTACCGTTCCCAGCATGCAGCGCGCCCGCCTAGACTAAAAGCCACAGCTACTGCGGGCTGTGATCAGAAATGGGGAAGGAGGAATTCAGGGATGTTGTGGAGGCCAAGCAAGACTATAACAGGAGTCAAAAAGGAACTGGATAAGTTCATGGAGGATAGGTCCATCAATGGCTATTATTCAGCATGGGCTGGGGGGGTTTCCCTAGGCCCTGTTTGCCAGCAGCTGGGAACCGG